CTTGCAGATGGACAGAGGGTGGAAGTCAACCTCCAGAATGTTGTACAAGTCGCGGATCTCAGGGCGAACGCGCTTCAGCAGACCCTTGTTCAAGGCATCCTTGAAGAGAATAGCACGAGAAGGAGCCTGAGCCATACCGAGCAGGTTGGTGAGGCGGGTGTTCTTGTTCTTGCGGGCCTCATCGACGTCAACGAGCGCACCACGGGAGCGGGAGGTGCTGATGACAGGGATGGAGAGGGCCGACAGAAGGACGAAAGAAGCAGTCTTGGTCATGTCAGCCTCGCTGACGGAGGGATTCTCCTTCTTGGTGCTCTGACCAGCGGCAAGAGCCGCGGCGGACTGGCGGAGCAGGTTGTAGTAGCGGCTCCAGGCGGCGGCGTGGAAGAGGTAGTTCTCGCTGACGAGGAAGATGCGGGCCAGCTTCTCGTAGTAGTTGGCCATCATGACGTTCTTGGCGGGACGCTTGGACAGGCTCAGCAGGGTGTGGATGTCCTCAATGCTGCGGAAAGCCTCCTGCCAGAGCTCAAGCTCAACGGCAACGTTCAGCTGCTGGAAGCGAGTGTCCAAGTGACGCTGGAGGGTGTCGGGATCGCTGAGGTTGATGGCGTGCATCTGAGCGGAGTACTTGGCGGCGTTCTGGACATGGTTGCGGAGAAGCTCACACAGACGGCGGAACTCGGTCTTGCGGGTGTACTTGAGACAGAACTGGAAGGCCTGCAGGGCGGTGGTCTGGTACATCACCTCCAGACGAGCGTTGTTCTTGAGGATCTCCAGCACGGTGCGGTAGGTTTCCCAGAGGAACTTGAGCCAGGGGGTGACAACGGCGCGGTCGGTACGGTCGCGGGACTGTTCCCCGGAGACGGTGGCCAGCAAAATGGTCTCGGGGGTTTCGATAGCCTCCAGATCGTCGACGTTCGAGGAGGGAGCAGCGGATTCCAGGGAAGACTGGATCTCGTCGGCCTTGGCCTGAGCCTCGGTGACCTTCTTCTCGGCGAGCTCGATGAACTTCTTCAGGACAACCTATACAACACAAAACAAGTGCCCCCTTGGGTCAGTCTTCGGCCCGGTGGTAGATGTGACAGGGGATCCTACCTCGATGGTGCCGACGTTGGTGTTCTGGGCGATGTTCTTGTACTGGTAAAGACCATCCTTGGCGGACTTGCCCTTGCGGAGATCGACACACAGCTCAACGAAGAGGAGCATGACGGGCTCGAGCGAGACGATGGGCGTGCTGCGCGTTCTCTTGGAGGTGACATGTTCGTGAAGGACGTTGAGGGCGGCGGGGGCCTGACCCACGGCGATGAGTTCCTGAGCCCTCTACAGACAACAAGCCGTTAGTTGATATTCCATCACTGTATCCCCGTCATCATCTTCTTTTATCCCATCTGGTCTTTTCTTTATGTGTCCCCCCAATCCAAGATTGTTCTCCGACTTCTTCCCGATCGACAGCGCGTACCTTGAGGACATTTTCAGGCTTGATATGGGGTGGCGGCGGCATGATGGGCGATGTAGCGGGTGAGAAACACGATCAGTTGTTGATGGATGTAAGAAAGGTGGATCGCACAACGACGGGCGGGCAGCAGAGGTCGAGGGCGATAAAAGCCTGAAGTGAAAGAGGCTGCCACGCGACGGTCGGCGAGATGACCCAAGACGACAAAAGCCGGTGGGAATTATGGGGAGGGGGGGGGGGAAGGAGGGAGGAGGAGGAGGAGGAGAGGGAGAACAGACAGACAGGCAGAGGCTGTTGGTTGAGGGCCGTCGTTGTGCGAGAGCCGGCGAAAAAAACCAAGATTTGCCCACTTTGGGTTAAGCGACTGGGACCGCGATGGTCACGTGATTCCATCCCCAAGCGCCCGCTGCTATCGAGACGCGCTCTACATCCTACGACAGGGTGCTAGGTACGATTGTATATTCTGCTACCATGCGAATCATAAGGGCGATCTACAGTGCCCTTAAGAGTGTTTCGCATAGTGGTGGTGGTGGTGGTGGTGGTGGTGGAGGCTCATCGTGCCGCGCCCTCCACAGGCTGGGCCACCCGCATTCTTCCTGGAGCTCGTACAATAATAATAGGATGAATGGATGAATGGAGCGGTACCCAATGGGAGGGAGTATCTTGGATAAAACTCGTATTTTGCACTCAAGGAACTTCCTCATCCTTTGTATCGACCGAGCAGGAGCTCCAATCGACAGAGCGCCAGCTGTTCGGATCGCCATCGGAGCTATCAAGCTTTCAGGATTGATGTGTCTGTCCATTGATCAGTCTGTGCAGCGGATTAACTGTCAAGCCCCCCAGCTGCACGTGAGGCTCCGACTCATACGTCCGATTGACGACCCCATCATGGCATGAGGATCCGATGATCGTGATTTGGGTCAGTGATCAGTGATCAGTGATCAGGGACAGGAGCTGGAGGATGACGAAGTGGTACCTCGTTTTCGTCGGTTCTTGCTTCAGGGGCGAGGGAGGGTAAGAAGAGGGAAAAAAAAAAAAAAGAGGAGCCAAAACGACTAGACGGGAAATTAGATTCAACCGCGCCGTTTGGGTTCCGAATTATAGCAACAGCAGAAACACTTCACCACCACCACCACCAATTGTTTGATTGTTCAATTGTTCTATTAGAAGTTTGGCTTTCTTGAGGTGGTTGTCTCTCATGTCTGCCATGTTGGGGGGACCTTGTTTGTTAACCGCTAAGTGAGTTAGTGGCAGTGAGTAGTAAGATTGGCAGGATGGATGGATGTTGTCGAGAATTATTCAAGATGGATAGGATAGGATAAATTATCCCCTCCTCCCCTATTAATACTACTCGTAATACTTACTATGTTGAAATGGGCGTAGCTCCAAACTCCTTCCCTTTTTTTCCCTCTTTTTCCCCCTCTCCACTTCGTCCACTTCGTCTTACTCCGTCCACTTCCTGCTTGCTCTTCTTCCCCGAACTTGTTCCCAGAGTCCCAAAGTCCCAAATTGCCCACCAGCGAACTGACTAGCAATTGAACTACTACCAACTAAACCTCTCTCTCTCTCTCTCTCTCCCTCTCCCTCTCCCTCTCCCTCCCCCTCCCTCTTCTTCTTACTTTACCTCTTCTTACTTACTCTTCCGTCTTTCCCTTCCTTTCTTTTCCTTCTCTTCCCTCTTTTCTTCCCCGTTGGATCGTCGTCCCCTCTGCTTTCCCTCCCACCCTTACGGTTCCCGTTGACTCTCTCTGGCTTGTCTGTCTGTCTGCTGTCTTATCTTCGCTTCTCTTCCCCCACTCTCCACACCACCCACCCTCTCCCGCGAAGTTCGCTCATTAAATCTCCTGCTGCTACTGCCAGTGCTCGGTGGTGTTTGCCTCTCCTTATTCCGCACAGCCTCCCACCACCCACTACCACCACCACCACCACCACTCCTCATCCACCCGTCTTTCTTCCCTCTCCCCTTACAGCTGCTGCACCGCGCCGACCGCAAACCTTAACAGCGACTCCGACCTCTCACTTCCGGCTGCCATTCGCAAATCCCACCACTACTCTATCGATCCCTCATTCCATCGCTCCGTCTTGTTCTCCGACGGCGCGTAGTCCATTCGACTGATCAGACCCTCGACTACTGCCGGAGTCCGTCTCTTGATCGCTCGCCCCGTCCACGTTCCCGACCGACCGTTTTCAAACATTTAAAACCAACCTCAATCAATCAGTCAAAATGCCCGCCTACGAACTCCGATCCGGTGGAGATGTCAAGAACAAGAAGCAGAGTGTGGCCGACCTCAAGTACCGTCGCCTGACGGAGCTCAATGCCCGTCTAAAGGAGGATCTCGACCGTCCCCGCGTCAAGGTCTCCGAGGCCGCCTTGTCGTACGCCTTCCCCTTCCCTTCCCCTCCCCTCCCCAAACCCGACCGCAAAAGGGCCCCCACGCCATGAGTATGACAAATCACTAACCACAGTCGCATTCCACAGCCTCATCAATTACTGCAACAACACTCGCGACTTTATGGTACCATCCGTATGGGGCCAGGTATGCGATTTACCCTCATGCACCATTGGCACGGTCGCTAACTTCAGCGCGCGCAGGTCGACAAGCGGGAAGACCCATACGCTCCTCAGCAGCAGGGCGGCTGCTGCACAGTCATGTAATGGAACCCATGACTGTCTATAATTTCTATCAACTCTGGACTCTCAACCCGCCGATCGATGGCCGACTTACGGCGTTCTCTTTTTCTTTAATATCCCCTCCTGCGATGACTTTGTTTTAACATTCTGCTCGACTATTTAATTCATCTTCACCATCACCCTACCGTCGACTTGAAAGGTGGATCTGATCTGCGACTTTGCTTGGATGCCGGTCGAGTGCGATAAACGACAACGCCAATGACGGAAGAAGACCGATGCTTCAATGCGCGCGTGTGCACAATCCTCGACATCCGACCGGCCAAATCAACCAAGCCCCATCACAATCTGATCTACAGATCATCTATCAGTCAAGGGTGTCTTTTTCTCAAATACTTTTTGTCGGCCATCTATACTCAGCCAGCTCGACATCTTTTCCGTTCCCATTGCAATTTTTTTCATCATCATTTTCTAGTGACTTTTATTGGACCCATATTTCCTATGTTCAGCCGTGAGATTTTCCATGATGGGTTCAGGAGTTGCATGCAAGGCCAAAAAAAGAAGCAAAAGCCGGAATTGCCAGCGGCAGTGGGGGAGTAAGCCTGGTTCTTGTAATATAGATTTGCAGGGCTAGTTTAATGAGTATCACTGTAGTGTGAAATGGGTTTGAGTATATATACTTGACATGCGATCGGAGATTTCATGTTCATGCAGGAGATAGAGCTACTAGGTACACTCCACCCGCTGACATCATCAATGACCTTAGCTAGTAACTTAGTTCGTTCATCATCTCATCCACCTACTCTAACCACCACCTTCATCACCAACAATCACTTGTCAATTCCCCTCTCCATCATCCTCTCCACTAACAACCCTCCTTCGCATCAAACCTATCCCAAATCCCAGCAGAGAAAACAAAAAATGATCTCCCTCCCGCAGCAGCACACCCCACCCCCCAGCGCCAGCTCCCTCCCCCTCCTATCCCAAGATCAACTCACCACAGCCGCCAATCCCAACCCCAACCCGACCCCCGACGCTGCACCGCCGCCGCAGCACCACCACCAAGGCCAACAACTACACCTTCAATACCCCCGCCTCACAATCCAATACTGCACGCAGTGCAAATGGATGCTGCGCGCCGCCTACGTACGCCTGTCCTTCCCCCCCCAACCCAGAACCCAGAGCCCAGAGCCCACCCTCACCTTGACCTTGACCTTGACCTTGGCCTTGGCCTTGACCTTGACCTACCCTTTCGATCCACACCCCAAAGACCAACCCCCAATCCCGAACCACCTCCGTTGCTCAACCCCAGAACCGCACTAACCTGAATCCCCTCCGGCCCCGCCGGGCCCTTCGGGGGAAACACGGGAAACAGTTCGCGCAGGAACTCCTCTCGACGTTCGCGACGCAGCTCGGCGAGGTGGCGCTGCAGCCGGCGACGGGGGGCGTGTTCACGGTGACGCTGTATCATCGGCCGGGGGGTTCTTCTTCTTCTTCTGCTTCGGGACCAGAAGCAGAAGGGACTGAAGATCCCGACGAAGCCGGGCAAGAGGAAACGGTCACCGAGTCGGTGCTGTGGGATCGGAAGCGCGATGGCGGGTTCCCTGGTATGTTTTTTTTTTTTTTTTTTTTTTTTTTTTTTTTTTTTTTTTTTTTTGCTGGTCTCCCCGGTTCTCCCTACAAATGCGTTTAGCGAGTTCGACGGGGAGGGAGGGGTTGATCTACTACGTACCTACGGACTACATATAGATACTGACAACCGCCCAGAAGTCAAGGTGCTGAAATCCCTCGTGCGGAATGTGGTGGATCCCGGGCGGGATTTGGGACATACTGATCGGGCGTTGAGGAAGGGCCGGGACCAGGAGCAGCAGCAGAAACAAGAGGGAAAAGAGAAGTGTGAGGATTGTCAATAGACCATTCTATATCGTATATAAGTAGTATCAGACTATCAATCACCTACCAAAAAAAGAGGTATACCGGCAAGCAAGTGGAAAGTGAAACAATCGATAAGATCCATTGTCATGCAATACAATAAAGAGCACTAGTCCTCCCGCCTCCTTATAACGCCATCTCACGCCCCGACTCTAATGGTGCCCCCGATATCCATGAGCCTGTGTCCTCTTGTATAATATAAAAACATAAATAAATATAGAAAAAAAATGGTCCAGACAATGGTCAGATGTAACAGAAAAGAAATGTTAAGTGAAGGCAGTTCACGAGGGTCAGCAAATACCCTCGCATGCCAGCACCGGAAGGCACTAGACTAGTCACTCCGATACTAGCATATCGTCAAGATCGTCAAATATCGAGGAGTCACGAACCCAGGCCTCTGTGCGAGCAGAAGCACTGAGCCCAACCACCCCGTATCACCAATCCGTGTCGTCAGTCATGCAATCCATCGTAAATCCAAATCATCAGCTGAATGTCACCGTATGCCCATAACCCAAAGTTCCCCCCTGATTTTCCATGAACACCTTGAAATCAAATCGCAGAATAACGCCAAAGAAGCAGAAGATCGTGTCAGGTCTCGCCACTCAGCTCGTGCTGGTGCGAATGATGTGGCTTGCGTCGCCAAAATGCCAATCGGAGACGACTCCGTCGTTTTACCAGTTTGAAGGGGCCCGAGTGACGCTCGCCGGGCTCGCCCCAAGGACGACCTCGTCCATCTTGTTTGGAGCTGCCCGCGGTCGTCGTGGATTGCCCAGAGCTGCCGGTCCCATTGCCCGCAGGCGATCCCAAGTGCTTGCTCCCAGCATCGTACGTGTGTGGGTCAGACGCGCGACGGTTGACCGGGTAGACGGTACCGGTAGACTCGTGATGATTGGAAGTTGCAGGACGGATGTTGGCCCGACTCCACTCTTCATTGTCGCTCCGGCTGACACTTTCCCGAGCGAATCCCTTCTCGTCACTGTCCACCGTCAGGAAGCTGGTCGCATTGGTAGCCGGAGAGATCGGGGTCATGTTGTTGCTGTAAGTGCTGACGCTGTGGGTGCGAGTGCAGCTATTCCGTTGAGAACTCGAGAGGCCAGACATGCGTCCCGATGAGCCAGTGTTCGCATGGCGACGGCGACACCCGGTAGGGGCTTGCCGTGAGCTGCTGGGTCGTTCCGCCACGCCTTCAATTGAGCTGTTGCGGGCGCTAGATGGCCCGGACGCCCCGCCGTTCGTGGCGGAAGAATTAGCCAGGACGACCGTGGCCATCATGGTCGGGTCGGTCGACGAGCGGTTGGTGTCTGAGGCTCCGTCAAATGTCTCACTCGGCCGTGCTGAAGGCGTGGTGGAGAAGTCATGGCTACTGGTGCGTGACTCTCCGGGAGTGGACACCGTTGCATGATCGGGCACGATACCGGATGATTTGCCTGGCTCTATCTCCGTTGGGAATGGACTACCCGTGATGTCCATAGAGGGACCAGGCGTATCCGGTGATACCACAGGGCTGATGTTGTTCTCATTGTAGTCACTGGGTGGCTCATCCGAGTTAACGGGCGAGTGCACGGCCCCGAAGTAGTCTTCCGGAGTCGCTTGCAAGGTAGGTTCGCTGGTAGGGAAGGCGGGCTTGATCGGAGTGTCTAGGCCCGGGGTTGCCACTGGGGCGCGCAGGCCCTTGAGACTTCGAATAGGACTTTGCGTGCGCGGAGAAACCACCTCATCTGGGCGCAGATCGAGGAGCAGGGTTTGTTTGGTCTTCTCTCGGTCGGCAAGCATGTGCCATCTGAACTGGTTTCCTCGAATATGGTCCACCGTAAATTTTAAGTCGGGAAGGATATCCGATACCCCCTCGAACAGAGGTAGCGCAAAGATCGACATGAAGCCAATCTGGCCGGTGGCAAGTTTGTAGATGTTCCCGAGCTCGGGAGGCCCGCCAAACAGAGCAGTCTCCATTCCCACCTCTTTCTCCATCTCGCCCTGATTGGCGAACTCCTCCTGTAGGATCTGGGTCCACTTTTCGGCCACATCCCACGGCCGCGCCACATTGCTGATGTCGGCACATTTGATCAGCAGACCGCACACGAGGGTCTTGTAAAGCTCCAGATCTTGCGGCTTCCACCCATCCGTGGTGCAACCATTCTCATGAAACCGCTCTTGCAGTGACCCTAATCGCTCCATGAACTTCTGGTGAACGCCCATATCCGTGGCTAGGATGGAGCTGATCAGCAATTTGCGGAGCTGGCGATCTTTGAAAGCGGCCGGCCAGTACCGGCGCAGAATTTGTGAGAAGGCGGCGCAGTGAAACGCTTCCAAGACGGAGTTGTCGTTATACAGTTGAGCCAAGGGAGCATTCAGCTTGACCAAGAAAAAGTTGTTTACGCCCGGGTGACCGACATCGTGACCAATCGCGGAGATCAGCAAGGTCAGGGTGTCAAACGGCGTGAGCAGGGATGCCATCGGGCATTTGTCGCCCGATGCCGGACCGACCGATCGATAAGGAGGCAGCGCGCCTATGTGGAGCAAAAAGCAGAAGACGGACTGCAGGACGTCTATGGCATGGCGGAAATTGTGGTAGAGGACGAAGGAATTATAAGAGGCGCGACAGGCAAGGAGGAACGTCCGAAGTTCACCTAGAGACGCCCATTGATCAGCTGGCAGGGCTTTTTAACAGATCTGCAAAAAAGGCCATGCACTTACCCGGTGTCAATTGCCACTCCCCCAAGTCAGGAACCCTTAAAGCATGCTGGAGCATCTCAAAGGCTCCCAAGACCAACTCATCGTCAGAGAACCCGTGAGCGGTGAAGCTCCATTGTCCGATCTGTTCTCTAACGAACTCGGCGCGCTCCGCGCGGACATCCAACTCGCGGTCCTGAAACTCTTCAATGACCTCTTCTGGATTGCAAATGCCTTTCATAAGCTTGGAAACCATCGCCTCTCGCAGGTAAGCATACGGCTGCTCATCGTGCACCCCCACCCACGAGTGCTTTCGCGTTTTCTTCCTCGACAGGAAGCGCGCGGATTCTCGCAAGGCAGTTTTACGGGTCCGGTAAGCATGGACAACCAGAGCCTGCGCTCGACAGCTGTCCAGCGGGGTTACGAGGACGTCGACAGCGCCGGCATCCAGGCATTTGGAGATGTGTTGCGGGTCGGGAAGGGTGGATATACTAGGTGGTTGGTCGGTAGGGGCACTGGTAAGGTCGCCGGACGGAGGGCGCAGGATGGCAACAGGCACGATCAAATTGGGCAAGTCCTGTACTTGGATATCGGTTGACAATCCGGATAGCAATTTCAGATCATATGCCCCCTCCCAGTTCGAGGAAAAGGTGAATCCACGGCGCAGCGACGCGGGCGAGGGAGGCGATACGTCGGCCCACGAGCCGCGACTCGCTCGGCGGCGATGTAGGGTCGGTTCTTCTCCGTGCAGATCTATGTCGAAAAATGCAAAAATCGGCATATATTTGCCTCCCGCGCCGTCGCTCAACTCGGCTAGTTTCGTTGCGATCGACGCGCCGGCTTGACAAAGATAGATACGTTTACAAACCCCCAACAGCACTCGGACGTCCGATCGAAGCGACTCCGGTTCTTCGAGCAGGAGAGCTTGCGCATCCGGGTCCGTTACAGGGTCCAGGGTATTGTGATCAACCCATCGCTCCGACCTGACGCGATGGTCGATGTAAATGGCAGAACATTCGATGCGATCCATGGTGTCGTTAGGTATCGTGGTGCCCATCATCCAGAGTCTCGGCTTCGAGGGTCAGGTCTCGGTGTAGTCGCAGAGATGAGGAAAGAGGAGGAAGATATAGCGAAGCCGACTTGAACTTGGGCTCATATGGTAGATGTGATCTGCGAATGGGGTGGGGTTGCTGGTAGTAGAGGTAGGAGAGAGGATCGCGGAGCGAAACGAACGGCCGGTAGATTGAGAGGAATGAAGCGAGGGAACGTTGTGTGAAGCAAAAAGAAGGGCGGGCTATAGAGACTGCAGGATCAAGTCACTCTATGCTGGGATCTGTTTTCTTGCGTCAGCGAAACCTCGAGTTCAGGGATACACAGGGTGCGGTGTATGCACGCGACGACCAGAACCGACAGGGAGTGAGAGGCAGCGACCCAGACAGGCTATAGCGGCGACGAACCAGCGTCATCTGCGGCGCGCACTGGAACAATAGATTTGTTCGCTGCAGCGCGGACTACCAGGAACATGGTCGATGGACGTCCATCCTGCGGGAGGGAGATGCAGGAGGGGCGAGGAGGCTCCCAAGTGAGACAATCCAGGTCGCTTTGCACCCAACCGCATGCATACCTCCAGCTGGCGGTCGGCTATGGTTGCCACCCGTGCATACAACCGGCTGGCTTTGGGTCACTCACAAGTTTTCTAGAAAATCTCTCAAGGCAAGAATAAAAATAGATATCAGGAGGAAGAAGTCCAAGCACCAAGCAAGAATCAAAGATCAAAGTAATAAGAGGAAGTCGAAGGACGGTTTGAGTAAAAGATTGAATGACGGGCAATTGCCAGTGGATAGTGGTTGGTCTGTTCGCGGGCAGCGGTTTAAGGTAGGTTCGTCACCGATGATGGAAAATGGCGCCCGAACCAAGTCGACCCGAAGGGGGAGCCACCGAAATCGCGACACATGCAAGATTCGGCTACAGAGAAGGGAGGAGATTGGCGAACCCAGGAAGTAGGGCGAATCTTAGGGCGTCATGGTGGGCCACGGACACGGCCAGGCGGAGACAGACACGGAAGAATAAAAGGTTGGTAGTAGTAGTAGTAGTGGTAGTAGTAGATATAAGAAAGTGTGAACAATAAGAGAGAGTGGATGAGTTTGTAAGTGGGTGTGTGGGAGTGTGTGGAGAGTGTGATTGTGTAAGAGTAAGAGAAGGAAACCAAAGAGAAAAGCAGAAGGGAAGAGAGAGCGAGAGAGCGAGCGGGAGTAAGAGGGAGAGGGAGAGGGAGAGGGAAGGGGAGGAAGAGAGAAAGAGAGAGAGAGAGAGAGGAGAGAGTTGGAGCAGGCAGTGAAGGGACGGACGGGTGGAGAGAGAGAGAGAGAGACAAGAGCCAGAGCAAGCCAAAGATCGATCGGGACCGACGAAGGGGCCGCACGGGTACTCTTGATAAAGGATTAGGTAACGAGAAGGGGATCGACTTCAAGCTGTGCGTGTGGCCGTTGCGCCCTTTGGTAATGGATTTGATTGTGAGGTAATTGTTTGATTGATGGAGTGATTGATTGATAAGAATGGAGCAGGAGGGGGAGAATAAGGTAGATGAGAGAGATCAGAGATCGAGCGAGGTAAGGGAACAATTGGAGAGGGAGGAGGGGAAGAGGGCGATCGAATCGTGTGGGTTGAGGAGACGTCACAAAGGGGACGATTGTGGGGAGAGGAGGGAATCGTAGTCGATGGAATCTGTAATTTAGTACTCGTGGAGATTGAAGAGGAGGGGGAGAATTCAAGCGTAGGAGAGAGGAGAGAGAAAGAGAACAGGAAGAAAGAAGGAAGAAGAGGAGTAGTTGAGAATGAGAGTGAGAGTGAGAGTAAGAGTGAGAGTGAGAGGACGGGAAGTCAGTTCCAGACCTTCAGGCAAAGAAGGGGGCGAGAGAGATTTGGTTAGATTAGTTTTTAGTAGTAGTAGTAGTAGCAGTAGTTGTACGGGGGTGGAGAGAGCAATGACGAAGTAGTTGTTGGATTGGAAATTGAATGGCTAGCGAATCCAGGGTTTGAACCAAAAGCAGTGTGCAGATGGAAGAGCTGAGCGATAAAAAGAGAGAGAGAAAGGGAGGGAGAGTGATAGATAGGTTAACTACAACTTGTATAGTACTATGGATACTATACTGTACATAGTGCTGCTGTGCCTACGTAGCAACTGTGAACTATAACTCCTTCTTTGGGTTTTCCTCTATCCTTCGCTCGGTCTTCCAGAAGGTCGCGGCACCCGGCGGCGGCGGCTGCGGGCGTCGTCAGAGAACAACTCCGATGGGGCCAGACAATTGGCCTGATGGACTAATTTCACTACCTTACATTATTCCAGCCAGGTTCCTGGCCGTGGATGGATGGTGGTGCTGGTGCTGGTGCTGCTGTACTGGTACTAAAACTAAAAGCAGCATCGGCCCCCCCGTCCCAACGACAGAAACTATTCCCTCCGTGTATACGATCGGCCTTTCATCCCCACTCCCTGGCCTCGTTCAGGTCCGGTCGGGTTGGGTCTAGTTCATCATGGGGTAAGTGGGAGGAGGCTGGAGGAGGAGAAGAAGAAGAAGGAGCTGGAGCTGAGAATGACGCTGATTAATATCTGACTGGCTAACTAAATATAAGTTATCAAGATACGCAGTAGATGTCCATAAATCGGAACCTACCGGGAAAGACGAAGAAGTGCAATGCACTCAGTCAGTCAGTCAGTCAACTGGAACTGAACACCTGAGCAACAACCAAGACGGGGAGAAAATTAAAAAAAAAAAAAAAGAGAAAGAAAGAAAGAAAGAAAGAATTACACTCAGCTAGCTGTAAGCACACACACAGAAAGAGCAAATAGTGGGGCAAATGACGCTTAAGCAAGCCATCTCATTAGTTCGTGTCGTGCTCTTCTAGAATCTCCCGGGCGGAAAATGAGTGGAGGAAAAGGGATTCCATCGCACCACTTAATTTAATTAAAATGAGGCTTTGACTTTCTGGCCTTCTCTTGGGCAGTGGGCAGTGGGCACTGCACTGCACTGCAGCGGGCACAATTGAACACACTTTCGGTCATCATTATCATCATCATTGGGGGTTTCCCTTTCCCTTTGACTAGACTTTCTGAAAGAATTGATCTTACATCAACCTCCCCCCACCCCTCACCTTTCCCCATCCCATGCATAGAACCTCCAGTAACTTACAGAGTACTGTACCTAGTCCAGTGATCGAACGTGTTGTCGATCCCCGTGTGTAAGCGCATGAATCAAAAGGGAAAAGCCGCGAGTCATTGGCAGGTCTTCTAGAACTTCCATTCCACATGCGCACACACACACATGGTCACCACACCTTGCCCTTGAATCAAAAGGTTCTTGTTCACCTCATGTTCAACGGTCCTCTGGCAGTTCGCATCTAAAGGACAAATCGAAAGAAACTGAGTAAGAGTGGCAAACCCCCACCCCCCCGAGTGACGTCGACCACCGTCCATGATGTGATTTTATGTTGTGGTACAAAATTCCGACAATGGGAAGCAAATCCGTCCGCTTTCAAACCGCGGGTGAGGGAAAACGGGCTCCTTCAACCGAACCCGAAAATCCTCGGGCGGTCTGGCTTTCAATTTGAGAATAGGGGATTGATGGGTGGCCAAGCCAATGGTCGGAAAATAATGTATGTTTTCTTATTATGATGAAGGGAAAGAAAGCGAGGAGAGAGAGACATACGGTGACACAGAGAGACAGAGGAAGATGGAATCCACCGGGCGGAACGGGGACGGGTTTATTATGCAAGGAGCTTCGACCACTGCTGTTCTTGCTGCTGTTGCTGTTGGTGGTACACTACATGTAACTACATGCACACTACACTGATGCTGCCCAACAACATCAAGTCTAACCTCGGATGGTAATTCACTTCCCCCAACCCTACGTAAATCGTTATATCAGGCATACGACTTGGATGTACAGTACTTATAGTCCACACAATTGAGTGGGGAGTACTTCCCAACTCAACCCTATGCAAGACATGAACGCGCGTTATGTCTCAAGGGATCGTCAGGCTGGATTTCCCGGAATTATATTTCGGTCTTGGTCTTGTCTTGCCGCCAATGGAACCCATCCACTTTTCTACTGGTTCCATTCAACTGCATCGTACATCCATCCTCTATCTACTACGTACTGTATCTTTCTGCATACAGGTGGAATATCTAGGATCCTGATCCTGCCGACACAATCCCTGCTGCCTATTTTCTTCGGCAGTTTCGGTACGGTACTCACTAAGCCTTGTACGGGATCCAGTCCTTCAGTTGGTGGGCAGCACTCAGGCTGCCAAGCAGCCTCGAGGACCTCCATTACCCCCGCAATCCAGACACTGTACTTGTCAAAAGGAAAAATCTTTCTTTATCATTCGTAAACCCGCTCTGGTCGGGGTCAAGAGAATATTTAATAACAAACATTCGAAATTCCAATGCCACATGAGAGGGAGGCCATTAATCCATCCCATGGAGCTTAATCACGCAAAACGCAAATGATAACCTGGTATAGCAAGCACAATGCAAAGAAAGACAAGTAAGACAGAGGTGAAGAGAAGTATGGCAATACATACACGGAGAGTTCTAGTCCACGCGGATCGCCCGTTTTTACCTTACCAGAAATGGTCCCAAAGTAAATGCAAAGAAGAAGGGGAAATGAAGACTATGGTACATGGACTGCATGGGTCTGTGGCGGCTCCCTCCAGGACCCTCTCAGGAAAGTAAGTTCTTCAAGGAAGGACTGGCGCTGGCACCAGAGCCGCCATTCGTCCCACCATTGTTCGTGTGTCGACCCGTGCTCATCAGATTCGGCCCTCCACCGAGGGGCGTTTCGTCCGGCTTCACGGGAGGGGTCGGTCCTCGAGGGTCAACATGGGCTTGGGATATCGGGGGTGACTGGGCTGGTGCCCCGAGGACCCGATCAACGGAATACACCCGCGGCGGTGGCCCTCCATTCAAGGCGCTGAGAGTGTGAGAGGGTGAACGCCGGACCATCGTGGCCTGAATATCCGGTGGGGAAGCCGAAGGTGCATACGGGCGGGGCCCTGCAGCGTGCGAAGGGCGAGGCGACAGCATCGAGGGCGGTCCATAGGGACTCTGATGGGCCGAGTAGGGCTGGGGCGGAGGAGGGTGTGTGCTTGCCGTATAGCGAGGAGCGGGAGGCGGAGGAGCATGGTGCGCTGGAGCCGGTTGGTAGCCGTTGATGTGGTGCGCTGGTGGGGCCGGGGGCCCTCCTCGATACCCAGGCACCGGTAGACCATTGCGCAATCGGCCATCTGCATAATCATTGGATCGCTGGTCATACCAGTCAGGCCCACTGTGCGACGACGTGCCCATCGGTCTGGCAAGAACACTGGGCTGAGCCGGATGGGCGTGGGCGTGGTGCGGTCCAGGGCCATACGGGTGGGTATGGAACTCGCGCATTGGAGGATTCGGCAGGACTGGCCGAGAAGCAGAATATGGCGACGGTCGAGGTTCGGGCGATGGCTGAGGGGCGGGCTTCTTGAGGTGGCACTTGTGGCATTCCACTAGCGCTTGCGATCCGTCTGCTGACACCGTACCGTTGTCTGGAGATGCGTAGTCGCCGTTGAGCCTGGGCAGACCAGTTTGAGATGGCTTGCGAGAAAGGTAAGGAGGACTGGCCGACGATGCGCCAGGATATCTTGACTCATTTAGACCAGCTCCATTCAACAGAGGCGTCCGGAGGTCAGTGCTGCGCCGCGATTTGTCGATCGACCACCATTTGGGCGTGCAGGTGCTGGAGCAGCGAGCACACTTTCGGGCAGAATTGCTATCAGTGGCGGGGCGAGGAACATGATTTTCGGAGTCGATGACCATTTCATCTGCTGCATGCTCCGGTGATGCCGGGATAACCTTGTGATTGTCTCTGGTAGTCGTCGACAGAGGCACCACACCGTTGACGGTCGAGACTCGGCGACTCCCAGGGTTTGTTGCAGAGTGATGCGATGCACCGGCAGACTGTTGTACGTAATTGGCTCTGCGAACAGTCCCAGTCAAGCTCAAGTCCGCTTGTTTGTAAACTCGCGCGTAGCGCTGCAGCGCATTCAAGCCCGCTTCCTCGGTTGGCTCGCCAATCTCATGCACAACAGCGGAAACGGTATGATGAGGACACCAGATTCCGGCCGAAGCAGACCCATACTCATCTCCAAGTCGCACGCTGCTCACCGTATCCCGCCTGGAGCTCTTCACCGGCGTGATATTGAAGCCAAATTTGTACTGCGCCTGGAAGGCACACCCAACATGGAAACGGGCGTTGCAGTTGCTATAATGACATTGCACGCATGCACCTTTGTCTGTCTTGCAGATCTTACATACCTCCCGATACCTGTCCGCAGGAATCAGTCCAAAGCCTTCGGCTGGCTCAAGCTCCTTGGAGTTCCCAAACTTGATCTCCGGAGTCCAAACGGCACAGGCGACGTGAACCCAATTGTTACCGGCAGTTCTCTTGAGCGGCTCGCGCGGACCGATTGGCTTGCCCACATCTTCCTGCCGCTGCCGGTAGAGCTTGATGGCCTCGGTGAGTAATTCTTTCTCGAGTCTCTCCTTCTCACGATCGCGCTCGGTCTTTTTCTTGTGTGTTGATCTCGGCGCTTCCATCAATTCATGTTCCGTCCAGGTCACTGGGCACAGGACGCATTCGTAGCGAGTCGAAATTATGGGCTCTCGGTCATTCGAGCACATATCGCAAAGCCATTTGACACAGTTACGCGATGGGCTAACACCATAGCAGCCGCGATGAACGGTCAGTCGGCAATCTCGGCAAGACAGGTGCTGGTCACCCATGGGCTCCATCTTGTTGCAGATGGCGCATGGGAGCGTTTTCGCCTTGGGAGGATCAGGCATGATTGGCGGAGGTTCCGGCACCTTCTCGGTCGGTGGTTTCTTCTTCGGCGCAGGTGGTTCCACAGATGTCGCTGTGGAGGTTGTAGCACTATCTTTGTCCGTGATTCGTCCCTTTTTCTTTGTGGACTCCTGTTGTTGTACCTGGGGATTAGCATTTACCGGAACACCTAATGAGGCTGCCGTAGCCGCTGTGGCGCTGTTGATGCTGATTGGGGTTTCGGTTGAGAGAAGAAGCTGGGTCAGGAGCTCCTCGTCTACGCGGCGGCGCCATGACTTGTTACCACTCTGCGCAATCTTCTTCGCAACCTCATCGACACTCTCCCACTGAATGCCGTATTTTCTCCACAGGAGAGCACAACGCAGACATAAAGCCACGGTGAGCTGTGGTCCCTTATCTCGTTGTTTAGAGGAGGGTTCACTAGGTGTGGTAGTGCCAGGCGGGACTCCTGGCGCGCGTCGCCATTGGCGTGAGGTTCGTGTAGAACAGAATTTGCACTGAAATCCACGCTTTTTCTCCACGGCTTTCTCGTTATCATACGCCGAATCGTCGTGATCATCCGCCACATCATCTACCAGCTTCGCAGCATTATGTCGCTTGGCTTCTTTCTTACCCCGCCTGCCTTCGTAGCTTCCCCAGATTTGACGACCGCGTGGGGTCTTCTTCCACATGTAGTAGAACCGGACGATCTGGTAATGCGGTACGGTCCCAACGTGCTTGGTGACATTGCGTAGCTCCGATCCAAACTTGGCAACTCCTTGTTCAAATAGTTTGACTTCTTCGGGGCGCAGGTGGGGCTCCTTGAGGTCCTTGTATTTGTTGACTTGCTTCAACTTCGTAAGAGCCGCTTTGACATCAAAGCTGTTAGAATAGAGCAACTCAAGAGCTTTGTCGAGAAAGTTCGTAGAATACCCCTCCACTCCCAAGTCGGGAGCCAATGCCTTGGCTTGCTCCATATAATTGTCGATAAACTTCTCCCTGTCGGCAGGGCTGAGATCAGTGCCCGGCATGTCATCTTCTCCGCGGGCTGAGATCTGTCCTGCAGTGGGCATTTTGATCATTAATTCGGCGGTACGTACTTGCTTTCCCGCTACTGGTACCGGCTCATCCTCACCGCGGCGCACGTATCCCGCAGGCTCGTCCAGCACCCATTTCGGCCGGTTCGCTTTTTCTTGTTTGGCAGCCTCGATCGCGGCAAGCGTTTCCTTTGACAGCTTGGAATCCTTCCGACCGCTGCCGCCTCTCAAGTATTTCTTCTTGATATCGATCGGTTTGACATACTCCACCGGCCTACCATGCCACGGGATCACCATTGCCTGGTGGCGAGGCCCCAATCGAGAGCTGGCCCGTGGATATATGCGGTCATCGTAATCGAGGGCGTCTTCAACCCGACAGTGAATCCCCAAATAGCGGTAGGGCCACATCCTGGCCTGTGCCACCTGTTCCTTCGTAGCTGGTCGGACCTCCTCCTCGACAGGAGCTGGGGTGCTGCCTGTGGTGGCGTTCGCCGCGGCATGGGGATCCTCCTCTTCCTCTTCCACTATTTCCTCTTCACCTTCAGGGTGCGGCGCCTCCCCGAGCAGCGGGGTGTTCCGTGCCTCCAGCTTTCGTTCCTGCGCTCGACTACATGCTGCGCAGGCCCATGCGAAACCTCGTGCAGGCTTCTTTGTCAGGACGGGTCGAACGCAGTACATGTGATAAGTGTTATGGCAGACAGCACAATCCACCGAGTCCGTACTAGTATATTCATTAGTGTCACGGTCTCCTAATCCGAAGGAAGAGAATTGGGCTTTACTTTGCGGCATATAAACTGCAGCGTTTGCACGTCTTCACGGCACTGGTTAACTCCTTCCGTCTCCCGATTTCGACCAGCACAAACTTCCAGCGTTCATCCAAGACTTTCTTGACATTGCCGGGGACGTTGATGACCTTGCTGGTAGGAATTACATCGTAATAGCGATGGATGTACCGGTCGAACATCTTGTCGTACCAAAAACAATCCCGAGTTTTCCTGTATTCGTCGAAGTCCGAGATATCGGACAGGTGGGAGATGTAACATTTTCCACGCAGGGAGGTGAGCGGACAGGTATCGGAGTGCATTGATGCGAAGACCAATCTCGTATCTGCGACCTTCCGTTGGATGTCACGTGGTCTGTAATACCAATTCACGCGTAACGCCTCGATCGGGCCCGAGGCGGTATTCTTGGAGGGGAGAAACTCCATAATTCGCGCCAAGTAATACGGTTCGCCTGGCGGCTCACAAATGAGGTAAACATGGTCTAGCGCACGGCCTTAGCATCTTTTCTTCCAGCCTCTTTCAGACACCCGGCGCGCGCTGATTGACAAGGGACGTTCGGAACACAACAATGAGAAACTCGGGAGGAGGAGGAGGAGAAGGACTAACCATTTATGGCAAACGTAGTGCCGTCATCCGCTATGAGCTTGCCATCTTCCAAATAAGCGCCACGCTCCTCAAAACTGACCATATTCGTGTCCGGTTGGTGGTGACTGGCTCCTGGAGCAGCCGTAAATAATTTCTTCGCGGCGCTTCCATTGGCTGTGGGAGTGCTCGTCGAGCTAGCTGGTTGTTTTCGTTTTCTGGACGAATTGCTTCCCCCATTGATCTCGTCGGGTTTGGCAGAAAATGACGATGTGCCGGGAATGGAAGGGTTTGGTGCGGCGGTGGGAGTTGCGCCATTTGTTACCGTCAGACTTTTCCGTGAGCTTGACGAGGATGCTACTTTCTCGGCCTCGACTTTGGAACCATTTACAGGATGACCTGCCACGCCACTCGTCCGCTTAGTAGATTTGGGCGCGGGTTGGGCAATCTCCAAATCCATGTCGATGTCGCGATCTTCGGCATAATTGGGACGTGGCGCTGCATTGCGCCCTCTTGAGCGGGTGCCATATGGTGCCGGCGTCGTAGACGCGCTGGGCGGCTCAGTGGCTGTGAGAGTGGCCTCGGAGGCCGGTGAGGCAGTAGCCGCGATAGAATGCGGTTGCGATTGCAGATCGTTCCCGGTGGCGGCCCCTTGGGGCGTGGGAGACTCTGCGGAACCCGTCCGAGAAGCAAGACCAGGAGTAGGCATTTGACGGACGGCAGAAGGAGATGATGAACTGAGCCTCGCAGTGTGCTGGGGCTGCAGTGACTTGTGAGGCGGTGACCTGTCCGAGGCCATGTCCAAGCCTCAGGCAAATTTTCCAAATAAACAAACCAAGTAAAATGGCCGTGGTGCCTCCAGCGTGGCGGGCGTGTCGTGTGGTAGGTTTACCACCCAGCGGAAGAAACACCAAACAATCTGGCTGGTGGGAGGAAGAGGCGGAAATGCGAAGCTCAGCAACGGGCCGTGACGGGAAGGCGATCCCTCATCAGAACTGACTCTGCAGGCGGGTGGAGATATTGCACAGCGGCGTGAACCGAGTATCAAGGGGCGGCAATCAGAAGCACAGAGGAACACTAAGTCAATCAAGCCTTGGGGGTTAGGATAAAGGGAGGAAGGCTGCAAAGATGTTGGAATATCTCTCTGCCTACGACCGCACTGAAAGGGAAAGAACAGAGACAGTCGATGAAGAACAATCGAAGAAGAGGTAAGTTTAAAATGCCAGTGCCGAATTTCAGTCTCAATTCACTCTTTTATTCCCGCAAGGGCGGAAGGAAGGGTGAACGGGTGATGTTGATGTTCGAACAATAATTCCCAGAGAATCGAGGTCGGCGGTGAAATATCAAACCAGCTAGATGATGACTCTCCACGGAAGAGAAGGAAGACCACAGGGGAGTAGGCTCGAATGGAATAATAGGCCCGAAGGCAACGGAGAGGCAAATTGAAAGAAATTATCGAAACGCGAGAAGGAAAAGCAAAGTGTAGGGCGAGAAAGACATCAAAAAGAGAGAGTGTGTGAGAGAGGAAGGAGGGATGGAAAGGAAAGAGTAGAAAAAGAAGAAGAGAACCGTAGTAGGGTAGTGAAATGAAGGTTAGCGGCGGTGGAAGCCAAACCAGAGTAGAGCCACACTAAGGCGTTGGGAGACTCGTGGGGACCGAGGGGAGGAGGGGGGGAAGGGAGGGAGGGAGGGAAGAGGGTGTGGATGCGTGTGAGAAAGAAAGAGTGGGAAAAGACAAAAGGACGGACAAGAAGAACGAAGAAGAGTAGTAGGAGATTGGGAAGAACGGATAAGATCACTTTAGACCCCGTCAGATTGGTCTAGTCCTTGTGGCAGGACTGGCACGGGAAAGTAAGTAGTTCGTGATAATCACAGTTGACCCTCGCCCCCAATTGTTATAGTCCCTTAAATCCCGAGTTGATGGAGGAGGGCTTAGGGAAAATGGGTAGTCGATCGATCCTCACGGTCGAGATTGTATTGGATGTATGTTATATTGGACTAGTGCATTTCCCGGGACCCAAGGGGAGGAATATCGGGGAGGGGAAATCAAAACGGGACAGGGTTCAAAGAAGGGAGGGGAGGATAGAACTTGAAGGGGAAGAAAGAGAGAGTAGTAGAGGCAGAGACGAAGAGAGAAGGGAGAGGGAGAGGGAGAGGAGGGAGAAGGGAGGGATGTGGGGGAAGGAGGCAAAAAGAGGATGAAGATAGAAACTCGAGTCAAGACCACCGCAGACAGGAAACGTGAAAAGTCAGAAGCTTGGGTTGAAGGAGCGAAAATAATATGCAGCAACATCAGCAGTAGCAGAAGAGCGCGAACGAACGAGACCCGAGAGAATCACTTTACTCACCCATGGAGCCTGAGTACTTCCTTTCCTTCCTTTCTTCCCTTCCACCAGTTCCTACCTACTCGTACCTACAGCACACAATGGAGTACTAAACTAACAACTTGAACTTACCTACGAGTACAGTACTACAACTACACTAACTAACTTAACCAGCTGGGATCCCGACCAGTCCACATCCTCGCCCCTAGTCCCGATGGGTTAATATGACGGATCCTCCTCCATCCAACCCAGACAAGCCAAATGACCCAGAGATGCTGGCTAGCAGATTCGGCAATATGTTCAGTTCAGTTAGAGCAAGGTAGCCCCAGTCTTCTCCAAGAACTTGGACTCTGGGACTCTAGGACTGTCGCTCTACCTCTTCACTCTTCACACGTTTCATTTCCCCGTTCACCCATGCGAACCCTCCTCAAATTCTGATATGCCTTCAATTCCCGGTTTCTGAATGGGTGGTGACCTGACCGGCTAGGCTGACCGGGCGCCGTCATAGCCTGCGGAGGTCAGGAGCATCCTCTTTCGGAACAGCAGACTGGCAGACTCAGGCCCGGCGTGGTTCTACTTCCTCCCTGGGCGGTTGCTGACGAGGTAGCTTCTTGATTGCTTATAACCCATTGTTCCCCTTGCTCGCAGGCGGCGGCGCATTTGACCCGTTGGGGGATCTACGTTATTCTACTGGGTTTAGCGGAAATGCCTTAGTCCCATCGCTCTCGGATGCTTGTCGTGGGCCCTTTGGAAAGGAATTGCTGCTGCTGTGGGCCGAACGACCCGATACGAAGAGAAAGAATGATGGTACATCGGGACAGGGAAGGGGGGTTCTCAGCCATGGGCCGAGGAGCGCGATATATGATGAGGCAAGCGCCCAACAATTAAGACAAGGGTCGACCGGCCTGGGGGGAGTCTGACGAAACTTAATTGAACAAGTGCAACTGAGACGGAGGGAGAGAGAGAGAGAGGGAGGGATGCTAAGAGCAGAGGAAGAATCAAAAGGCCGGATAGACTTTGCTCGGCTCCGTACACCGCAGAAGATGGAAGGTGGAGGGAGTGTGGATGGACAAGAAAAATAAAATAAAAATAAAAATAAGAGGGTATGTACATACGTATGTATGTATGTTTTATGTTTTATCTGTGGCAGGAATGTTGTCACGTAGGGCAGCGCATGCGCGTTGAATCTGAAATCCTGAGCGCCAAGTCTATTCCGCGTTCGGGCTGGAGCGTGTAAGGAAAGACCACCGCATCTGTTGGATCGTCTATGACTGCAAGAGCCACATGCTTGATATATCTAGGCACAACATGGTCTATACCCACGAGAACTGGACAAGGGCTTGAAGATGGAGGTTATTCGGAATGACCCATGAAGAGCGATACCGCAGTGTGTTTAGGATGTTACAGGGAACTTCTCGAAACAAGCACCAGCCAGATAAGTAGGTACAGCACTTGTTAGTATTATTAGAGCAGCCGAATAACCTCCCCCTCCCCCTTTGACTTCGGTCTTTCTGCTCTTCAGCTCTTAGCTTGATATAGAGCTAGGCTTTTCTCTTGAAGATGAAGTATCAGGATTCAGGGTGCATGCTTGGATAATCTGCCCGTTGGGTTCCCAGTTTTCTTTCTCATTTATCGAATTTTAGGGTCTGTCCACCATCATTCCCGATTTTACCGGGGCACGGGAGGTCTACGGTCAGAAAGGGGAGGGGCATTTTGTGCAAGAGTGGCTCCGTACGACCAAAGAAAGAACTGGAGGCATGGAGACGTCCGGGACACTGCTAAGCCATTTTAGACTAGGTAGACAACCGAAAACTCGGATCAGAACAATACAGCGAAAAGGGAGAGGGCTGTCGGTACCGTGGCTCCTCTTGACCTGCAGTACTAATTGACTAGTGGTGATTAGTAGCGGAACACTGTATATGTAGTAGATCATTTGAGCGTGTCGGTCTGACTGATTGACTGACTGACTAAATGTCTGTCTGTGCCGATGATAGACTACTACTGTACTGTACAGCATGAGGTGAACTTCATGCGAACTACCGTAAACTGACCCCTCTGTCATCAAGTTTCTCTCGTTATTGTACAGTACGGCATGCAAGATGACGGCCTCCTCCCGGGAAACCCACTAGGACTTGGCTTCTTCCCACGCGAATGAATATGGTTGGATGGTCGCGTGTGGTCGGAGTTGACTTTGACGAGAAGAAGTGATGTGATAATAACACTAAGCAGAAATCCTTCGGCGACGGCGGGAATACTGCAGTGAGTACTAGGTACTACATAGTAGTTACTGACAGTCATACTGACTACTGAGTAATATAGCCAAAGCCGCCAGAACCCTTAGCGCGCGATTCCCTACCTGTCTCTACTGGGGACCTCCCCTCCCTCCCCCTCTCCCCGCGACGGCGGATCGTCTGGGTGGCATGGACGCGGCGGTTTTTTCTTGGCCTTCATTCAAGATTGTGAACAATAGATACAGATGGCGTTTTGTTCCAGTGCCTAGGGTGAAGTGCACACGCCCTCAGCTTCGCTCGATGCAAACTCTCTGTGCTAGGTGTAATAAGTTGTGTTCACTTACATCATCCCGATGGGCTGTCGGCTGCCATCGATCTGGCTGGTAGGCATCCAAGTGACCCAGACAACTTACGTACCTTGGAAACTCCTGAGTTCATGAACATCCATTCAGTCAGCTCATTTACGCCTGATGATTTGCTGCCGCACTCCTTGCACTGGCTTTTGTTGCCACCTTCCAATCACCTGCTCGGCCGGGCACAGTCTCATTCATCGTGACGACTGAAAGTGGTTGATATTTGCTACTGGACAATCATCTTGCAATGCATACAGTGCGCTATCAGGTAAATTGGATTCACTGGAGCAGCGGTAAAATGCAGGAATTTGCGCCCTGTCGAAAAGAATAAAAAATGGTAGAAAAGAAAAAGCAGGGTCAGTCGCATCAGGCGGACAAGTGTGCCAGTTCTAGCTCATGTGTCAAACCGTGTATGCGATGTATTGTGGGAATCGCAAACGCGGCATGCTGACGGAACTGGATCGTCCCATAGGGTAACTATGGGGACGGACAGGCTGTAGCACTAGAAACTGTGCTATAGAAACTGACATTTAGTATTAGCGCCTACAGAGGACGGGTATGGAACTGCGCAATCAACGGCTAAAATCTCCCACAGGGTCTCCCTGCCAGACTAGCATCAATCACAGTGTATACTCTGGCTGTATCGGCTCACAACTTACAACTCAGGTAACTTCTTTCTGAGAAAACCGAACCTAAATCATGCCTCGGGAATTGTTTGGTACGGTGTACTGTACGGGGAATATGTTCGATCAGGTTCGTTCAAGCGGGAGTGGCCACAACAGAGTGGAGTCTTTTAATCGCTCTTTTGATTTTAATTTTTCTCTTCTTGTTTTCACTCCTACGTAGACCTCCAGGCTATTTTGCTGCGATTCTGTTTTGGGTCTGGCGTCCCCGGGTCCATCTCTATGACCTGAGGCAGTGTATGTGGCCGTTTTCGGGCAGGCTCTCTGCGGACTGGCCGCCACAAATATATATCTCTCATCGCAGGCCTGAGCTAAAACAGGAGGGAAAGTTGGAATAAGACATCGGGAACGGGCCAGCAAACTGAGTCCTTTACTCACAACACTAAGGGCGAAGGGGGATCGGGGGAGAGTGGTGTCAGTCCCAATCGGTAAGCCACCTATTCCGCAATTGAGATTCCGAAGGTGAAACGGTTTGCTGTTGCTGTTGCTGTTGCTGTTGGTTCTTTGAACTGTGCACTGAGTCGGAGCCTGCCGGGTGCCTCTCAGTCTAGACCAACTCAGGCAAGTGTGGGTGGGTTAGTTCCAAGTAGAGCCCGGCGGGCGGAATCACCAGGCTGATGAGTGTCAGGTGATCGCAGGTAACCAAAACAGCTTCCATCTCATGTATAGTTCAAGGTTGATCAAGAGAAGGTCAAAGTGAAGGCGGTAAGAGACAATTAATTCTCTGTATGTATGCATACGTACTCATTTATGAGGCGAGAAGATGATTGTCTGGCTCAAATGACCAAGCTGGCCTGGTCGCCCTTGCTCATCTTTCCGTGACGAATTTTAGATGGTTCCTCCATGCGGTGTCTGTGCTCGACTATCAATACGGAGCGCATCACCTTGTACTGGACGACCATGGGGCTAAGAGCCAAAGAGTTTCTAGTGATTGTTATCTAGTAGTTACTAGGTAGCCTCACCTTGTAAGATTCGGTGAAAATACAGACACAGAGGCAGCCAGACAGCCAGACAATGCAAATGCATGCCGCTGTCGACTGGACTAGCAGTGCTAGCAAGCACTTGACTGGGCGGATCAGCAGGGCTCCGATTAGCGGGTAAAGACGATCCAGGAACGTTTCCGCGGCGGTCGGGTCTGGCTTGTGCAGGGATGGCTTAGTCGGTTGGCAGTTGGTGGTTGGTGGTTTGTGGTAACAATACATACTGTCATTTGTTATAGTATAAAGTTCAAGTGGTACTCATACATAGTATTTTTTGCAACCTGCGACCGCCGACCGCCTGGTCAGGTTCCAAGATGATTCCAGCCTGAGGCAGCAGCACATTTGGCCCATCCCGCCGCGGGCTCAGCTTCCATTCAAGTCTTTCCGTCGGGGATGCAGTTTCCGATCTGAGCGCGTTGCAACCCACGCGCGTTCTGGGTTATTTATTTGGTTACGCTCCCGGGCACTGTGATTTATCTTGAATCCTTCATCAACACCATCGCCTGATATTATGAACTCATTTTGAGCTGATTTGTCACCACCAAGACTTCTGTTGGTTCTTGGGCAATCTGGCAGATAGAAGATTGGTTGATCATTGGCACTTGAACCACTCATACACCTATTTCCCCATCTCCACCCGCGTTAATGAATCCGTGAAACATTCTAATCATTCTATATAACTAATTCGTCACCCATGGGATCTCATACTATAACACTCACTCATCTCAAACGATCTTCATCTCATTTCAAGGCATGTCTG